CGGCGGCGGCGGCGGCGGCCGAGCAGCAAAGAGCGCAGCAGCCCGCGGCCGGGACGATGAAGTGCAAGCCGAACCAGACGCGCACCTACGACCCGGAGGGCTTCAGGCAGCGCGCCGCGTGCCTGTGCTTCCGGAGCGAGCGCGAGGACGAGGTGCTGCTGGTGAGCAGCAGCCGCCACCCCGACCGCTGGATCGTGCCCGGCGGGGGCATGGAGCCCGAGGAGGAGCCCGGCGGCGCGGCCGTGCGAGAGGTGTACGAGGAGGCGGGAGTCAGGGGCAAGTTGGGCCGGCTCCTGGGCGTCTTCGAGCAGAACCAAGACCGCAAGCACCGCACCTACGTGTATGTACTGACTGTCACCGAGATTCTGGAGGACTGGGAAGACTCGGTGAGCATTGGGAGGAAGCGAGAGTGGTTCAAAGTCGAAGATGCCATCAAGGTTCTCCAGTGCCACAAGCCCGTGCATGCCGAATATCTGGAGAAACTAAAGCTGGGCGGTTCCCCAGCCAATGGAAACTCCATGGCCCCGTCCCTGCCAGAGAGCGAGCCCTAGTATGTACCGCTCCTGCACAGGCGCCCGCCCCGCGCCCGCGGCGCCTGCCCGAGCACTCGGTGCCATGTGCGGCCCCCGGGGAGGAGGGAGGCTCTTTTGTTTCCCGGCAGACCGCTGCCTCGCGCTCGCTCGCCGTCTCGCCCGCCCGCCCGCAGGGGCTGCTTCCAGGCTGTTGCGCCCTTGGCGGCAGCTCTGAAAGCCGCTGCTGGCCGGCGGCTCGGACCCGCTTGCGGCGCACAGCTGTCGGGGCTGCTTGGGAAGGGGCCCGGTGCGCCCCGGCTCGGGGCTGTGCGTGCGCGCGTGTGCGCGGTGCTGGGGTGTTGGCGGTCTTGTCCGTTACACACCTCCCCCCCACCCCCCGCTGCGCATGTTTGGCATTTGTGCTACTTTGGACGCCAGGCTGGCCGTTCGCCTCGGAGCCAAGGCCTGACAGTCCGGTCCGCTCGGGGGTGTGGCACCTTTCAGTAATTCTGGTTCCTGGCTTAGGTTCTCACAGCAGCGACCCTTGTCAGCCCGCCCTCCGGCATGGCATTGGCTTGGAGGATGTCTTTTGAGTGGGGGGCGGGGGGGAAGAAAAAAGAAAAAAGTCGGTACTTAGGAAATTTCGCAGCTTGTGCTCGGGCCACACTCCAGAGGCATTTTGTTTTCAGAAACGTCATCGCACATGGTCATTTGCAGAAATGGCTTTATTCCTGTGGCGATAGTTTAATTTCCCCAAAGGCCTCACCGCTGCTCGTTTTTCACTGCTTCCTTGGAAGAGATGGTTCCCGCGTAAGCCGGTGCAGTTGAACCAAACACTGGCCGACAGGGTAGCGATTTGATTTCGCCGACAGGTGCGTCCTGTTAAGTGCATCTCGTGGGCAGGACTGTAGTCCTGTGTGGTTTGGCGGGCTCCACTGCCCCTTACTAGCCTAGAAGGACCGTGGTTAAACTTTCTCTTAGTGTTGGAAGGAAAGTCATGTCCCGTATTGGAAGTGGTGACATTCCAGTTCGGCTTGTCTTAATACCAGTAGCCAACGGGATGGTGTCTTGGCTGGTGATCACACCCCAGCTGAGTTTGCCTTCTTGCTGCTCTGCTGTTCCAGACTTCTCAAACTGTTAGGACACATGAGCTACCTCTCTGAAATATTACAACAGATTTTATGGCTGCCAAATTGAAGACTGACATTTGCTTTTATATTTTGTTTTAACCAGAAAGCCCATCTCCAATGAGGTCTTCTATCTCTCCACCATTTCAGAAACTAGCTGGATGTAAAGCCTACTTTGTGTAGCGGTCTTCAGGAATTGAAATACTCCTAAATATTAGGATAGTGTAAAATATGTCATAGCTCAATCATTCATTGCGTTTTTTTGTCACCCAGTTTTTTTGGGGTCGTTTTAAAGAAAATTTGTAAGTCATGATACCCCTGGGAAATCTCTTTCATGTCAGAATGGTTGAGGACTGCTATTGTGAAGAGAATGTGTGTTTGTGTGTGGGGGGAACCACCTTTCTACACATAACACTTAAGGTATTAAAAGTATATTCTACAGTCCAATAGTAAATATAAGTTCGTAGAAATAATATACTTTGCTATTATTCGTACTAAGCATTTAAATTAGGAAATGGGAATATCGTTACCTTGAAAATGTTTTTGTCACTGTTTTTAATACGATCTCCACATATATAAAGATATCCAAAGTACATATTGTAAGAACAAGTAAAAGTCAAAGGATCAAAAAATATATATTCTTAATTATGCAGAATTGTCAAATATTTGTTCAACATATTTCTTTATACAGAAAGATGTTTAAATTTTAAAAGAAATTTTAAATCCTTATTGGAACAATCTAAACCAACCAGTAGTTCATTAACCTGAGATTTTTTGAGTATATACTAACTAGAAAAACTAGATTGTTGCTTTATGACAACTTCCTACAATAAACTGCCTCCATCTGAAATGCTGTCATCTGTACCTCATAGAATTCACTTATACATGGATTTCTTAGAGATTACATGATACAATTTTTTATCTGGCATATTTGACCAATGTGAAAATTACTGCTTTTACTCAACTCCTAAATTTCTAAGGTTATCATTTGTAAATTGGAATAGATCAGTTTACACTTATTACACTTTAAAAGTAAGTTTTCAAATTTACATGGGCAGTTATATAAGCTTTAGAACTCATTCTGACAAAAAAAAA